TTCGGATGGAAACCAACATTAATTTACTCTTCTAACATGGGGGATTTCCAGATTGGCTAAGAGAAGTGTGATATTATCCAAAGTAACATATGTTCCAGTTACATTGTGATTGGCCAGAAGGGCATGCTCACATATTTCTAATTTAAGTCAACAGCCCATCTCAGAGCTTAGGGGCTACAAAAGCACAAGGGTATGACTTCATCTGCTCACTTTATTTAGCGGGGTACACTGCCCAGTCCTGTGAAGCAACACAATTGCCTTCTATGAATTAAGAGTGCACCATAGAACATATCCAACACTTTTCTATGGCTATATGTTGCAGGGGGATATGAGCAGTGGTGGGCAGGCTGCCTTTTTTGGAAGCCAAACTCTCAATACTGAGCTTCTTCATAAGAATCTGCTGCATCTGTTTTTATACTTGTACCAGTTCTGCTGCCACAGTAACAACTGACAAGCGCATATGCCACTTGCAACCATTTGCACATCCATCTCCATCCATGTACAATAGCTATTTTTGCAAGCAGCCATGGAAACCCAAGGACACAGAGTCTAAGCAAAAGGCTTAAATGTACTATACCAAAAGCAGTTCAAGTTCATAATTAAAACATGTTTGCCTTACAGAGGTATAAAGCATGCAGGGTACTTATTCAGTGGCTGAGGCTCACCTGTGTTAGGAGGAATGAGAAAAGTAATTAAGGAAGTGATGGAGCATTCAAATTTGATTCACCAGTCTCTTTTTCTCTTAATGACTCTAATGACTGTTTCACATCCTTCCCCTTGGCTGCATTTTCTGTGATCGTTTAACAAGTAGTTTTCATGCTAACCCATCATTATGTTGCTGTTTTTCAGGGGCTGAGTGGTTTAAAAAAATACTTCAATCATTTAAGAAATACAAAGGCAGTCAGACTTAGGCTGACCATTCTAGTCAGACTTGAATGGTCTAATGGTGTCTTCAGTGTCTGGTTTGATATCACATTTAGTCCCAATTGACGAGTACTTAGTCTCAATGAGAAGATACACTATAATTATATCAGGGAGTGCTGAGGCAGAGCAAAGATGTAATAAATGTCAGTGTGTGTGGAAAATTTGGAGCTTGACCTGATTCACTTTTGCTTCTTCTACATCTTTCTCCCCTTGTTATGTACCCAGATAAAACAGACATTATAAAAGATAATGAAGACACCATGTTACAAGTAATGAACCTCAAAAGGTTTCTAGGTTTGGCTTTGCTGAGCATCTATAAATTGGGGCAGAACACATGGTTGACAGCTGAAGTCTTTGATTAGGCTTGGAACATGATAAGAATAGTGGTTTGTACCAATAACACATAGGTTACTACTGATTATTATATATGTGGAAGTGCAACTCTGCCTGTCATTGCCCACACAATACCTTTTTATGGAAGGAAGCATGAGGAATCAAAATCCTCTCAGCAAACAGGTCTTAAGAACCAAACAATATATTAGCAATATAAGATACTTCCACTTGGATTGCAGCTTGAGACACCAAAGTAATGCAACGGTAGAGCACCTGCTAGTACACCACTTATTTATATTATATGCCGATAGGCCAGGTTTTTAGGATTCAGCAAGAAATTGGATTATGTACATGGAGCCTGAAGTGATTTACAGCCAAAGTGAACAGTGTAGTATATCAACACATATGGGACGCGAGTGGCGCTGTGGGTAAAAGCCTCAGTGCCTAGGACCTGCCGATCGAAAGGTCGGTGGTTCAAATCCCTGAGGCTGGGTGCGCTCCCGTCTTTCGGTCCCAGCGCCTGCCAACCTAGCAGTTCGAAAGCACCCCCGGGTGCAAGTAGATAAATAGGGACCGCTTACGTTTCCGTGCGCTGTGCTGGCTCGCCAGATGCAGCTTTGTCATGCTGGCCACGTGACCCGGAAGTGTCTCCGGACAGCGCTGGCCCCCAGCCTCTTAAGTGAGATGGGCGCACAACCCCAGAGTCGGACACGACTGGCCCGTACGGGCAGGGGTACCTTTACCTTTACCTATATCAACACAAAGGTCCGTATAGTTAAAGCCATGGTTTTCCCAGTAGTGATGTATGGAAGTGAGAGCTGGACCATAAAGAAGGCTGATCACCGAAGAAGTGATGCTTTTGAATTATGGTGCTGGAGGAGACTCTTGAGAGTCCCATGGACTGCAAGAAGATCAAACCTATCCATTCTTAAAGAGATCAGCCCTGAGTGCTCACTGGAAGGACAGATCATGAAGCTGAGGCTCCAATACTTTGGCCACCTCATGAGAAGAGAAGACTCCCTGGAAAAGACCCTGATGTTGGGAAAGATGGAGGGCACCAGGAGAAGGGGACGACAGAGGACGAGATGGTTGGACGGTGTTCTCGAAGCTACAAACATGAGTCTGACCAAACTGCAGGAGGCAGTGGAAGACAGGAGGGCCTGGCGTGCTCTGGTCCATGGGGTCACGAAGAATCGGACACGACTAAACGACTAAACAACAACATATCAACACATTAAAATATACAGCAAACTAGGAAATGTGGCATCAAACGTGAATCAATAATTATTAGCTAAACATGTCCACATTCTTGGATTTACTCATGCTCACATTAAAATATTCTGTTCCAATATTAATGTCTCTGCTGACTTAATCTGTGTCTCTCATTTTGTGGAATCAACAGAAATATCTAACAATAAAAAATATCTTGAAACAAAGATTATTCACAACTCTCCTGACCAATTTAAATCATAGGAACATTTGCCACCAGATTAGCTGCCCAGAGTGGCTGGGGAAACTCAGCCAGATGGGCGGGGTATTTATTATTATTATTATTATTATTAGTAGTAGTAGTAGTAGTAGTAGTAGTAGTAGTATGGAACATTATATATATAGATATTGCAGTCAAGCACCCTGGTCAAGTAATGACTTATGTGTTCCTGAACTCGCATGTCCACATTGAGGTTCCTCAGTTGTGAGGGATTGTCCATTTGTTTCAGTAGAAATGCAAAGGAATACTTGGGCAGAGTGCCCCAATTGAAATGAGTGGGGGAACTAAATGTGCAAGATCTGAACACACTCGGGTCTCTGTACTGGACTTAAAGGATGGAATAATATTGTTTTGACCTTAACATTTGCAACTGATGAGACTCATTGTGAAGAACAATAGATGAATGGAATTGTGTTCATGGCATGGATTAGGTAACAATGCACTTTATATCTTTAAAAGATATTATACAGATATATACATCTAGAGAGAGAAACATGTATGTGGACTACAGTTGTCTTGAGTGATTTATGACATCAACACTTCATTATTTAAATGCAAATATAGGGGCCAGGATCTGCAGAGACACTTTAGCAGTGCAATCAAATGCATGTCTACTTAGAAGTCCTATTTAGAAGCCAAAGTGGCCCATGTCTCTCAAAGGGCTCCGTAGCATTCATTTACTTTATTCTATGAATATCCTATCACAAATTCTTTAGTTTAAAAAGTAATTTGGCAGGTGACATGAGGTTTGAGAAATGGAAACCAAAAGCTATCATCGGCTTTCAGAGCTAAATGCGCAAGTCTTTGGATCCTGCCCTTGAACTACAGTATTTTCAAGCTACAAGGAGAATCTTCTTCAAGAATTTTCTATGAAACCTTATTGTGCAACAACTACAAAACTCCTGCAGCCCAACTTCTAATTGAGGTTCATACGCTTGACATTGTTTAAAACTTTTTTATTGGAAATCTTACATATGTGACTAAAAGTCAAGGACAATATTTTTGAGTTCCATTACAAAATCAGTACATTATATATATATATATATATATATATATATATATATATATATATATTAGAAGCAAAGTCTACTGAATCATGAAACAATGATTGTCTACAAAAAAGTTACCCAAGGTAAAATTGTGTTGTGCATGAACAAATTTTATTCTTTTGATGAAGCTGAAGGCCACTTTCATGTAGTTCATTGACAATGCTGAGCTGCAAGAATTACAGAGCCTTAAGGAAACTCCTCCATCCATTGTGTTAGTTTTTCCTTCCTACAAGAGTCCTTTTTCAAAAGGAACAAATTCAGATTGAGCACTACCTTCTATAGGATAGGTTCTCAGAATGTCAGGTGGGCCTCCCTATGGTGGTGATAGTTGCTAGGGAAGGCACAAACTTCACCCCAACAGCAGCCTGTCTCAGCTATGTATGTGTTCAGTTGGCAGAGTGTGAACTTGTAAAGCACTCCAGCTAGGTAACTGGAAGACTGCGTTGGGGGCCGATGGCTTTCAGATGTGAGAAGCTGCTTACATTTTAAAGGACATCCATTCATCTGTAATGCTTCAAAGCACATTAGGAGGAGCTATGACCCTTTTCCTGGTGTAGCTTTTTACAGATCTTTTTCTGCCTAGGACAAGAGGCAGCTCATGCAGAGAATTTGTTTTGTGTAAGTTACAAAGTTTGGGAATGATCAAAAAACCATTCGCATCCTGACTCAGGGAGGCTCACGGTAACAGATTCTGAGAACTCTGCCCCTATTTTCCCCCAAATTAGGCTTAGCGAGTACCACCAATAATTTCTTCTGTCCCCCTCCCCCAACTCCATCAATTAATGCAAAGAGACATTGGAATCAAAATTTATAAAAGAAGAGAGAAAAATATGTGAAATTCTTGTGGGCGGTGTGCTTACCTTATTTCCAAAGTGACCAAGAGGTATTTGTGTGTTCTTTCATTCATTCTATAAATCACCTCTTCAATGGTGTGCATTCTGCAGCCTTCCCTGAAAACCCCTCAGCTTGGCTTTCCTGTAAGCACAGGATGGTGGAGCCCACCTGACAGTGGTTTTGCTGTGAAGTGTTTGGTAAAAGGAAAGATACCCTTAGAAACAAAATTAGCCATTTTGTAGCTAGCTTCCCTGGCTCTAAGGGCGCAAGGGAAGACATTGCGACACAAACTTCTTCCACAGGACTTTTTCAAGTCAGGAAGTGGAGGTAGCCAGGGAGGCAGCAGAGTACTGAGGAGAAATGTTTGTTGGAAATTAAAAGAAGAAAACACACACACACACACCACCTGGCCACCTCACAATAAAGTAAGCTCTGTCTCACACCCACCAAAATTCTGGAAAAAATTCTGAAGCAATTTGCAAGCACAATGAGAATGAGGCATAAAAAAAAGAAACTTTCTCACAGGGGGCTAAATCTCTTGAGCAATGGAGGACAGGTTTCAGCACATGGCTAGTCCTAGTCCTAGTCCTGCAAACCCTTAAGTTCCAGCACTATTCAGTTTTGGAGCAAGTCTTGAAAACCAAGAATGGAGGGGTTAATGTTTTCAGGATTGAGCCTTATTCAGGAACTCAAAAGCAATCTTCAGAAAAACAAAGGGGTAAGTGTGAGAAAGACGAAAATAGGAAAAGACTATTAAAATAAAGCGCTATTCTACTTGAATCCATGTCCTATTTGCTAGTAATAAATCAGGACAGCTAAAATATAAATATTGCCTGAATCATAAAAACTTGTCATATTCTAATAAATTCTAGTTCAAAAAATCCAACATTATTTTAACCGACTGCAATCATCCTTCGAGTTTGGCACACCTGAACCAGCATAGAGATGATGTGTTATGAAGTTAACTCCCTGGGGGGGAAATACTTATGTGCGTCAGGATCTGAAGATGGATTCTGGTGCTAATCGTATCACACTGCTTAACATATGAAAGAAATGTAAAAGAGTCTTTTGCTGCCGAGTCTTTTGCTGTGATTCCGCAGCAGCAAAAGAGGTAGCAAACTTGATGGAAGGTGCAGGTTTGTTTAAATCGCTGGAGCTCACAGAATGGATGACCTTGAAAGCTACAACTTGCATTAGAGACGCTCCCGCCTGCCTCTGTAGTCTCCTTTTGAAAATGCAAAGTACAAACATTTTATTCAAATATCTTAGACATTGTAATGGCTCAGAAGAACAATGACAGTGGTGTGTCCTTGTAGCAGTGTTCCTCTCAGAGAGATGAACGAGGGACTCAATTGCTTCACTGTAATTTCTCTATTTCCATGCTTCATTTCCTTCATGTAGCTGAGACTGGAAGAAAAAACAGCATGTTCTCAAGCACCTAATACCATGATGCAGTATAATAAACCTGAATGTGATGGAGACTGGAGCTCCAAAATAAACATAACTTTACACATCAATGTTTTATTTAAAAACTAATAAAAATGAAGAAAGGATAAGTTCTCCTGTACTAATCAGAAGAGGTAAGGATAATAAAAAAAACTGTAAATAGACAGCAATTCCCCCCCCCCCATACCTACATAGGCATCACAAAACTGTGATAATCACTTTCCAGATCTCTGATTTGACATATCCTGGAAACAATTTTGATAAGGCAATGGCACATGTTGCAGATTTTCATAACAGGAATTGCAATCTATTTTTAGAGTCACCCAGATATTTACAGAGGCTTTTGGACTAAATAGCTTTTAAGACCAACATTTTAAAAAGTCATCGTGTTGGATTTGTTTCTGAGCCAGCAAACTGCATGCAACACTGTAAATAAAAGAACTTTGCATCAGTAGTAGACAATATATTGTATTAACATTGTACGTAGTAAATGATTTCCCCCTTCTCTCCACTAAGCAAAGACTCTGCAGTCTAGACCCAGCAGTACTGCGAAGGCATCTACAGGATATCATTGGCTCATTGAGGTCACAGTGCGTTACTTACTCTTAGAGGTTGGTTGCCTCTGCAGGTATACGAGGGTTGCTATCTATTTGCACATGCCCGAGCATCTTAATGTTATCAAAAAAATGCCATTGGATGCTCAGAATCTGTGTGTGTTCAGTGCAGTCCCTAGGACAAAGTTCTAATGAAGATATGCTTCACCAAGGCAAAAAGAAACCCAAAAGGTTAAAAATGGAGAAATATTTACAGATTTTCCTTAGTCCCAGATATTGAGTTTTTATTTTCTTTTTCTTTAGTGCATCGTCATAGAAAGGTTCAAAGGCTATGAATACAAATTTTCTGGTCCAGTTCCATACATGTCTGCAAGCCGTTTAAAACGAGGCCCCCAGTCACTGAGGTAATCGTAATTCTGATCTGAGTTTGAACTGATAGAATCTAAAGAGCTGAGTGACTCAGCCACCGAACCATTTCCCTCAAATGCGTATGTCTGCAGGGAATCATACGGTGGAGCACAAGGATCCACATCAGCCTCTTTTAGTCTTTCCCAAATAAATTCCCGAAAAATGACGTTATCCGGGATGCTTTTAAAGGATGGTCTACTCAAGAACTGGATCTCTGGCGTTACATCCCTCCTCGTTTTGGTGTCTCGGATGATGTTGAGGTTCCTCAAGGCAGCCATATCAAAGGCCTCGGTGTCTTCCTCTCCGCCTCCCTCATCATCATATCTGACTATGTTTTCCCTGATATCTCTCTCTTCATCGAAAACAAGGGGCTCCTTTTTCCGTCGTCTCATTGTAACAATGAGTAGGACAAGCACTGCAATGCAAGAGGCGATACATTTAGCGAAGGCATATACTGAACTTTATATTACTTACCAGCAGAGCTATTTCTAAATTATGCATAAGAGAACCGCTCATACACTATGGTGGTCATACCATACAGTCAGTTTTTAAATTTGCTAACAAGTTCTAAAATGGCTTTTAGACCAAGGGCTTTCAGACATTAAACAATTTATTGCCACCCTCATCCTGATTTAACATCTTCATATGTAATTCTGTATACTACACTGGCTGCCAAAACATAAATTTCCAGAGCCAGCTCGGGCCGAATATTACAACCTCACAGCCATGCAATAAAAAGAGACCTTCTTCTGAACTCTTAATTGCTCAGGTGATAAAAGCACATTCATAAACATACCATGTGTAATTTAACTGTCAGACTTTGGGAAGTGACTCCATTATTGAAGTATATGACGACAGGCTGCCTGATGAAGTATTCGATCCTTGATTGGGAAATTCAGGGTTGTTAAATAATGTCTAACATAAGTCTCCGTTTGTGCATTAAAAGCATCTCTCTAATAGATAACACTTTCCTTTAATGCAGAGTACGGCATCGTGTACCTGTGAATTATTTCTGATGAGAACTGCAAAGGCTGCTGGCATTTATTAGATCAGGCCTATGATATGAAGATGTAATAATTTTGCTATTTCTGATGCTTAAGAGGATTTCTTGTTGGCTTTAGTGCCAAGATGAACATTTGTGGAAACAGTCAAAGACTATTCAACATTTAAGTCTTGAGAGTCAGAGTGTGGAGAGGGCATTGCTTCCCAAGCAAAGGAGAGAGCTTAAAAGTTCTCTTTTTTGTGCCAGGAAAATCTGGCAGGGGAAAAAACAGTTTTTAAGCTTTCATCCTTGCTTGCATTTAACTTGTAGGATTTCAACCCGCAGCCTGCAGTTGCGTATGGTTGAAATTGTGTAAGTTAAATGCACGTAAGATGTGACCATACTCTAATGGGTGGTCACCAGAGTTAGCCACATGCAGAGTAGGCCCATTTAAACCAATGGAAGTTCATGGATTTCAATAGGCCTGCAGTTAGCATGACTTGTATAACACATAATAATCCAGATAGATAGATGGATAGATGATAGATAGATAGATGATAGATAGATAGATAGATAGATGATAGATAGATAGATGATATAGATAGATAGATAGATAGATAGATAGATAGATAGATAGATGATAGATAGATAGATAATCATACTAAGCTGTACCATACATTTATCATCATTTGCAACCAATGTTGTTCTTAAATCAAGCAAAGACATCATTTCAGTTCCAGATAACACGTGCACATTGTTTTAAGGGTAGCTCATCTATTTGTTGTTTTATTTTAAAAACAAAGGATATAAATTGTTTTATTTGCCTTCAATAAGCAATATAACCTACTGGAAGGAACCTACAGTCCAAGTTCCGTAAGTCCTTAAACAAAGCTGGAGGGTCCAATGTGCATCACAGTAGAGATACCTTAACTGTTTTTTCATAAATTGTGATGGCTTATTGGTTGTTTGCAACAACAATAGCTGCAGAACTTCAAGTTGCAGAAAATACCTCTCCCCTAAAATGATGTTTTAAGTATGCAATTTAACTCAGTGGCTACATTAGCACAATACCACATAAATGAAAACATTTTGACGTATTCTCATTTTCAAATGTATACTACCTTTAATAGTGGCATACAATGAGGTTGAGTAGGGTGCCTCTTCCATGTTTCTCTTCTTAGATAGCTAAATCTCTGCTCTGAGTATGGGGAAAGGTACTATAAACTGCTTGGTAGGCACATTAACAAGTTGGACCTGCAACTAACATGCTGCAGTCCTCCTCTTTAAGACTGCAACTAGCTAACCAGCATCAGGCACCAATTATTTGTTGTTTTGTCTACTGCTGAAAACCTACCTATTTGCTCAGGTGTTCCCAGGCAATGAGTTTTTAAACAATTCTTGGATGCCACCACTGTACATTTTATTTTATTCTTTTATTGCATGGCTAATTATCATGATACTGTTTGTAATTAAAGGTGGCATATAAATGAGCTGAAGAAATAAGATGTGGGGATAATACTGAAAGTGGGTTTTGGAAGACTTGTTCTGTGGTGTGGAAAAGTCTGTAGCAGAACACATTGTGAATCTAGAAGGATGGTTTTCAAAGCTGTGAAAATCAGTCACCTTTGGCAAGTGGCAATCTTATTGTGGCCAATTTCATAGGCTGATAATGAGCACAAACACAAGGTAAGAACTATAAAGTCATTAAAGTGGAAAGATTTCAGGACTTAGCCCTACAATTTTATGAAATAAAATATTGAGGATAGTAATAAGATTCAAATGAAGAGCCCACTGATGAAGCTCGTCTCTTTTCTCTTTTAAAAGAATTACTTTTGACCACACTAGGATGGTACTACAGCCATGTATTGAGCAGTTAATCTTTTCTTTGCTCCAGTGAAAATGTGTTTTCACACTATGACATGTTCAGCAGACTTCATCTGGGGAGTTAAATACCTGCTAATAAGTGCAAAATATATGAAACTTAGTAGATCTGCCAGCCTAGAGGTACAATAAAAATCACGATAAAATGAATGTTTTATGTGGTTATGCCTCACACAGCCCACGATTGCTTGAAGCCAAGAAAAATATGAAGTCCTTTGAAAGGTTAAACATTTTAGCATTTAAATGGCTTTAAGAGAATATTAATTTCTAATCACTCCAACTGCTCCTGAACAATAATTTTTAACCTCTGCATGAATAAATCCCACTTTAGCGACTCTGCAAGAGCCATGGCACTCGCTGCCTGCAAAACCAGTTAGTGCTGAATTCCAGTGCGAGAACAGCTGGATTTCAACAGGAACTGCTTTAGAAGAGATACTGAAGGAGAAAGGGAGGGGAATCCCAACAACTTCATGGCAATAATCAGTGTCTAGTTGAATGGCCAGAAAGGCTAATTTTCAGGATTGTTCATTAATTTTACTTATAACCACAACCTCCAGGCTTCAAAATTGAAAATCTACCATTGCTACAAGCATACAGCACATCCCCACTAAGCCACATATTTTAAAATAGATGACTGAGCACTCCTAAACCTGCCTTGGATTAACCCCAAAATTTTATGACACCCCCCAAAAAACCCCCAGAAGACCTAAGTTAATTTTTCTGAATCAACCACAGAGGAAATCCAAAAAATTACCTGCCTATCTTCTTGCAAGGTTTCCTTCTCTATAGCAAGTGAAGAAATCTGAAGGCACTCCATTGGTTTGCATGGGGGAGCACTGCAGGAGCCCAATCAAAGGATAGAGATGTTTATTGTCTACTTACCTTTGGCAGGGGTTATGCCCCCCCACCCTTGGATTGGGCCCTATGCTATGGATCAGCATTGAGTGCTGTCTCCCCACCATGTATTGGGCCTCAACAATGGTGAGATTATTCCCTGAATTATCCTCAGCAGAAAATAAACCCCCTCTTTAGTCCCCAGATTGGGTCCTTAAGTCATTTACTTTTCCTCTCTGGAATTGAGAGAAATTTCCTATGCATGTTTAGAGTAGCTCAGTTGATGGAGCATGAGACTCTCAATCACAGAGTCATGGGGTTTGAAACCCACATTGGGCGAATATTCCTGCATTGTACTCTACCATTCTCCGATTCTGTGTTTAATCAGAAGTAAGTCCCATTGCATCATATAGGGCTTATTCTCAGGTAGGAATGGGTGAATCTAATTTCAGTTGCTCTAAGTTTGTTATTTTCCCACTCTTAAGTACAGTTCTCCACATTTCAATCAATTTCAGTTCCCCATTTATTCACTCTTAAGTTCAATTATCTATATTTCCACATCAGTGTGTATATATATATATATATATATATATGTCCTTATGAAAATTCATCAGCATACACATACACATTTTTGTATGCAATTTTCCCCAATAGATGCATTTTGTGCACATTTTAGCATAAGCATTTTGTACATATAGTGCATGGGTAGGCAAACTAAGGCCCAGGGGCCAGATCCGGCCCAATCACCTTCTAAATCCAGCCTGCGGACGGTCCGGGAATCAGCGTGTTTTTACATGAGTAGAATGTGTCCTTTTATTTAAAATGCATCTCTGGGTTATTTGTGGGGCCTGCCTGGTGTTTTTACATGAGTAGAATATGCACTTTTATTTACAATGCACCTCTGGGTTATTTGTGGGGCATAGGAATTTGTTCATTCCCCCCCCCAAAAAAAATATAGTCCAGCCCCCCCACAAGGTCTGAGAAACAGTGGACCTGCTGAAAAAGTTTCCTGACCCCTGGAAGGTGGAAATTAGGTAGCTTGCCTTGAAACACTAACTGAATCAAATTTCTTCCCCATACCTACTCCCAGGAAAGTTTGTATAGGTGAAGTTGACTATTATTCTCCAGCTTGTTTCAATCCAGACTGGGGATAATCCCGGTGCCAGTAGAGCTTGCATCTCCCTTAAGACTGAGCATAGCAATATTATTAGCTTGGCTAGGAAGAACGTGGCTGCCATCTCTACCTTGGAACAACCCATACAATCTATGGAATGGGTACAAAGTAAGAGTACACTCCAGCCAAAATGAATGTTACGAGTTTGGTTGAAGTGATGCCAGTAGGGAGGCTAGTGCATCCACCCCTGGTACCAAAAGCCAGGCTGAACATACATGGTTTCTAAAGTTCATGTTTGAGTTTGGCAAGGTTCAAGAGGAAGGAAATTAAGACTCTTAAAGTGCAATTACCAGAAATGCTGCACTCTCTGTGTGATCCTCCAACACATTCCAGATGACTGTGCTGTTTCCACCAAAAAGTAGTGGATTCATGTTTATTTTTGTTTCTTTATTTATATTCGGGGCAATGCCTGCTTTGAAAGACCACCTTCTTCCACACAAACATGCTCATTATTTGCATGCAACTTGGGAGGCCTCTTCACTGACCACGTCCAGGTAGTTAAGCCTCTTCATTCTGCACAGCTTTGAATGGTTTGAATTCTCAT